GGGAAGGAAGGTGAGAAGCTTTACTTTGGGTTCGAGAGGTAGAGCTCGCGGTGGACGCGGCTCTGATCTCAACCGAGCATCTTCGTGTTGCGTTTGCACTCTCCAACCTTAGCGGTCGTGCTAAGAGTTGGGTGTACACGCGGTAGGCGACACCCCCTGGATGTTTCACATTCTGGGCTCATCTGTGCAGACTGCTCCGAGCCACGTTTCTCCCAGCGACCTACAAGTACCGGCAGCGTTCGCGCTTCCTTTCATATAAGCAAGGAAGGCGCGAGCTGCGCGAGCACGTCCAAGCGATGCGGGAGATCACGGCGTCCCTAGTGAGCAACACACTCAGCGAACACATCAAGGTGACCGTGTTTATGGAAGGCCTTCGAGTGGACCCGGCGCGCACTCAGGCGTTCCGTGTGCAGTCCCACCCTCGAAGAGGCGATTCAAGTGGATCTTCAGAAAGAATATAGCCATCGCCAAGAGCGCACGCCGGCCTCAGCGGGGCCAAGGAATTCTGTGTTAAATCCCGGGCGGGTCGGTCGCCCCACCGGACCCGTTCCCAAGGAGCTCGGGTCCGCCGAGCAGCGCGACATTCGCTGCTTCGACGGCGGGAAGCTGAACCACTTCAAGCGCAACTACCCCGCAGAGAGACACCGCAGGCGAATTTTCTCCAAGCCCATTCTCAAGGGTCGCTGGCAGAAGCCAGGATCCCGGGGCCAGGGAAGCGCCGGAGACCAGTAGGGGCAGGGCGCCCTACTTGTAAAGAACTAAGTCTTCGTGAGAGGTACGGGGTAGTGTGTACCATGGGGAAATAGTTCCTGAGAGTCTTCGCACTCTCGAATCGGCGAAGAGCAGTGGCGGGCTGCTCGTAGTACACGGATGTGTACTGGGATACGACTCCCTCTTTAGAATCTTGATCGATTATGGGGCGTCGAAGAATTTTGCACGCCGCCAGACGGTTGCTCGTAATAGCAACAAGTTGTCCGATGCTTTGAGAGAAAGCAAGGGCAACGGGGCGGTGTCAGTGCGACTGGCCGACGGGAAGGTCGTCACCGTTCCCAACGTCCAAGTGGATCTGGCTGTCAAGTTTGAAGATTTTGACAGCCTCGAACATCTTACTGCTCTCGACATGGATCCCTACGATATGATCCTGAGCATGCTCTGGCTTGAGAAGCACGAGCCCTGGATCGACTGGCGTGGCAGGGCAATCGGTGCCAGCCGCCCTGCGAAGTCCGACAGAGCATTGGTGAGTCATGTTCCCACCTCTGTCAGGACCCGAAGAACCCTAAAAAACCTCTGTCAGGGTACCGTAGCACCCAGCAGATGCTTGGGAGTCGTCGACGTAAATGACGACTCCGAGGACACTTCTATGATGGCGGCGCTAGGAGGCGCCGCCCAAGTGGGTAACTTAGGTCCACAAGCGGGTAACATAGTTCCGCAGACAGCTGCAGCTGTAACGAACGCTGGTAATAGCGTCTTCAAGGTGGGTAACAGAGTTCCACACACGGTCGCCCAGACCTTAACTGAAGAGAAAGACGTCGGATACGCTTGTCGTGTGGGTAACGCAGTGCCACACGCGGTCGCCCAGACCATAACTGAAGAGGAAGACGTCAGACACGCTTCATACACATATAAGACCTGAGACCACTCGGGAGGAGTTGACCCCCCCCCCCTCTGTCTTGGACGAGGACGTCCTGGAAGATCTAAACAAGTAGCGTCAGACGCGCTTGGGTTTTGATATCCTTAAGAACCCCAAGGATCCGGGGTGTCCTTTGATGACGGTACGCGGACGTGGTGAACGAGCATTCACCGACCCAACGCCCACCGGATCGAGGCGTACAGCATGATATCGATCTCGTGCCTGGCACAAAGTACTGTGTCACTGACCTCTTCCACGCGAACAGTGCGAGGTCTTCAATGTCTTCTTCGCTGCGAAAGCAAAGGCAGGCATGGTGCGGGAGT